TCCACAAACACCATATAAACGCACCTCCCCTCTAATGGCGAAACTATCATCAATGAGAAGCATCAGCACCTTTGGCTTGTTGCCATTGATGTTCCTCATGATGATGGTGGCTTTCGCGGAATCGAGAAAGATGGTCCCGCCCAAACCGAGTTTCGTGTCCAAAAACGACGAGCACAAGCCCATTCCGAAGTTGGAGTTTACGAAGCTATCCCCGTCGTCTCAACCGTCACGAAACGATCACCGAGCTCATGATGAGTTCCATCGTTTCGCCAAAAGGGTTGAAGCTTACAAGACGGCTTCAACCGGTCCGAGCCAAAAGGGTCGAGGCCATAAGTGAAGTACGGTAAAAGGGTACGTAGTTTTGTCTTTTAAAACGATTCAGTGTAACCTAAGCTTATGTCAGTTTGGAGCTAGACATATAAGGGTACAGTGAAGGTGATGTTCATGTTAGGCGTCGAAAACTAGGCCATAAGTGAAGTGGTTGGTAAAAGGGTAGTCTTGTCTTTTCGGAAAATAGATAATCCGTTCACTGTAACCTTGTGTCAGTTTGAACCTAGACATCTAAAGGTACAATGAACACGATGTTCATGTTAGGTGTCCAAAAGTAGGCCATGTGTATGTGTTTTTAGGTTCAAGTGTCGTCTTCGTGGTGTTGTAATATATTTTATGTATGTATATCTACTTATCAGTGTTTATTCTGACGATAACCGAATGTTGTTTTTGTAATTTCGTTATTTTGTAAAATGAAAAACCCGTCAAATGTAAAATTACTCAACTAACTCTCGACTTTCAATTTTGCAACAAAAAATATCGAATAGCTGTTGCTTACATGGCTTATCGAGGATGGTAGAGTTTGGGGATGAACGATCGTTACCAAATTAGAGACTTGACGTGTTTTTTTGTTTGTTACAATGTATGTCGAGATAAGATACATATCAAGTTCTAGTATTTGGTAACGGATTTTCTTGAAATTAAAAAAAATGCACATCAAGATAAAATACGATAGGTAAGAATATCTTTTCACGTGTCAAAATATCTATATAGTATTTGTATTTGTTAGTTCACGTATTCTAAAGATTTTCGAGATACCGATACGTTTTTTTAACAACACCTGTCTTTAAATTTGTGTCGTTTATTACTACAATTTACAACATTTACAAACACCCTTTGGGATAAGTGGAAGGACCATGGGATCGGGATGGTAAGAATATTGGCCCATGGATTCCTAGTTTGTCGTAGAGAGGCTAAAAGTCAGTCCCGATCCTAAGTGATTGGAGTATAATATGGTATTTCGATCTTGATATTGATCCCAAGCAATTAGAGGGTAACCAGCCCTTACGGTCTCAGTCCTGAGCAAAAAGTGGGACTAAATACAATCGGTTACACCGGTCTCGACCCAACTCCGTTTAAAAAAAATGATGTTAATAAGATTTTTACACAAAAATGATAATTTCTAATTATGATTTTTTTAAAATTAAGCGTATAAATACACTTTAAGGGGTGTTTGGGATTGCTTATTTAAAACAACTTATTCTTTTCTACAAAAGTCCTCATCAACTTATTATAAGTTAGAAGAGTTTAACTTCTTCAAAAACTCATTATTACCGGTATAAGCTGTTTATCAAAATTCAAAACACTCAAAAATGCTTATTATTAGTGTCATACCGGAATAAATCAATAAGTTGTTTTTATAAACAATCCCAAACACCCCTTAAATATCACATTTATTTAATTTTTATTAATATAAAACTTGAAAATATATTGAAAAAACCGGTCCCACTTGTAACTCGTCTTGGACCGGGCCCCATTTTTTTTTCTTTCTGAAATGTATAACCGGACTTAAACTCGCAGGTTTAAACCAATCCTAATCGGTCCTGAATCCTAATTCTGGTTACGTCCCGAACCAGACCAGGCCCGTTTTAACGTCTCTACTTGTTCACATAAATAAAAGGCCCATAACCTCATCAATTTTCTGGTATAAACTTAGGCCCATACAAGGCCCATTGTAGTAGGGATCGTTACGTAATTTTACTTCCGATAAAAATCTCCAACCTCAAATTTTCACGTCTCAAATCATACGGACATACATAATTAGAGAGAATATAAACTTAAATTACATAAATATTTAACAGATATAAAAGTCTGATGTGTCTTAATTTTATCAGTAAGACGTAAGATTTTGAGACAACAAACTTTTATCCTTTTACGTCCATCTTCGATAATACCTATGTATATGTAAGACCTCGAGCAAAATAACTTATACAACGAGAATGGGCCTGGACACTTTCGGGATGCGCCACGACTACCATGTACTATCGAGCCCCGTCGATGTTCAATTGCGAAAATACCTGGCTTTCACTCGGATAGCTCAACGCTGAGTTATCGTTCACATTGGAATCATCGTTAAGTTGAGAAGGCAACCGATGTATCACCGACATCGGCAATTGCATTGAAGTGTTGATCGTACTATCTTCGTATGGCTCTTTGTCCGTCGCCACTTGATGAAGTTTCAAAACGTATTCCAAGTCCCATAAGACATCGACCATATTCGGCCTCTCGTCTCCCGTATCCATTAAACATCGCCCGACTGTTGACATGAATTTCCTTAACGAATTTATATTTATCTTACCCGCAAGATATGGGTCGATTATATCCTCGACATTTCCATCATTTATCTGCTTAATCGCCCATTCAGCCAAATTTATTTCCTTTTCGGGAAGCTTGTGATCGAGAGCCGCACGTGCACAAAGTACTTCGAGTAGAACAATGCCGAAAGAGTAAACATCGGATTTCTGAGTTAGAGTCCCGCATTTAAAGTATTCAGGATCCAGATACCCGAAACTGCCTTTGATACCCGACATCTCACTCTGATCCTCGTTACCTAATCGGGATATCCCAAAATCAGCAACTTTCGCGACGTATTGTTTGTTAAGCAAGATGTTTGTCGATTTGACATCGCGATGAATTATCCCGCCTTCCAAACCTGTGTGAAGGTAATGCAAACCCTGAGCAGCACCGATACAGATCTCGAGTCTTTTATTCCATGAGAGCTTCGGCTGATTTTCATTAGCGTTATACAAATGATCTTGAAGAGTACCCTTCTCCATAAACTCGTACACGAGAATCATCTCGGACTTCTCATCACAATACCCGATCAAGGAAACCAGATGCCGGTGTCGTATCCTTGCGAACACCGTGATCTCCGTCACAAACTCCGGTCGACCCTGTCCATGTCCCGTTTGACCTCTTTTCACAGCAACTACTTCACCATTCAGAAGAGTTCCTTTATAGACCGTCCCGAAACCTCCTTTGCCGATCATCAAATTCTCGGCGAAATTATTCGTGGCATGCAATATATCGACAAACGGGATTCGTAGGTTTAGTCTCAAATTAGGAATTGGTGACGGATGGTTGATGGTAAAGTCGATAATGTTGCTCGTATACGAACTCGCACCATACGATGGCACCGCATTCGACTCCGATTTCGCCCCGACCACCGGTTTCACTTTCCCGTACTTCGAACCGATGAAGAAACCAACAAACAAAATCAACCCGATAGCCACACCTCCGATAACACATCCAACCACGATGAACAAAGTCGTGCGATTCTTCTTGTTGTTGTTGTTGGACCTTTCAACAAAACCGGAATCCTTCAACAATTCCATGATCTCGACCCCGTTCAAGAACGGCATCTGGTTACTTCCACGAATCGCACCGATACTGATATTCACAAATGGTGAATCGCCGGAATCCACCACCATGTCGACATAAAACGGAGCTGCCAACCATGCCAATCGTTTAGAGGGAAAAATCGGCTCTTTGTGCTCATTGTAGACGAAGAAATTGAAACCGTCGTTAGAATTCACCGCACCCCTGCTTACAATGTCGCAGAAATGAGCTCGAACCAGATACATGGCACTTCGATTAACTCCGAAAGTCCATGTTATATTGACCAAATTGCCGTTCGATTGTTTGGCTGTTCTATAAACATCTTCAGGAGCACTGGTGGAGGTTGCTCCGCCGGGTCGGTAAGTAATTTGGCCGTAAGGAGTGCTTGTTATTGCAGTTTCGTTCTTGTAGATGAACAAATCATCAGGTACCCATTTTCTTCGTAACGTGTCATTCGTTTCGTCCATCATATCTCCTCCAACGTTAATTCGATGAATTGGGTTGAAAGCATAAGACGACGTTATGTCCTCGATATCGCCTTTTTTTCCGGCGGGTGAAATACGAGGTAAAGGGACGACGCCGTCGGTGAACAAGTCCGATGGTGTGGTGAAAGCTTCAATAGCGTTTACAAATGCAGAAGATGAACCAGCGGACGGTGTGAACTCGATTCTGAATATTCGTTCCGATCGAATCGGGATTATGAACTCTTCAATTTTTACAGTCTCGTTTCCGACGATAAAATCAGATAACAGATTGAACCCAGAAACCGAAACTTCGAATTTCGAATCGAAATATTGAGAAGAGATTGGGAGAAAATGGAGACGTACCATCACAAAAGTATTGATCTCGTCTGCTTGGAGTTCGTACCATGATTTCTTAGTGAAAACTCTTGCTGTTTGGTAGATTAGAGGCGTGTTGGACGGCGGGTTGTTGTTTTTTTCGGCGGCGGTGCCGCCGGAGACTCTGAAAGTAGAGGGGTTGAAATCTCCGACGAATTTCTTGCCGGTGAAATCGATATCAGAGTTTGATCCACAGTTGATGAAGTGGTGGTCCGGTAAGACGTACTGTGAGAAAACTAGTGAGAGAGAAGAGAGAAGGATGATGAGAGAGAAAGGAATGGTGGATTCCATTGAAGCGATTGAAGGATTTCTGGTTGGAACGGAATAATTATTGGTTTGATTCAGGGAAGGAAGAAGACAGCGTGTAAAGTTGGAGGTGGAGGGGGGAGTTGACGACGACCGGAAAGACGAGCATCCAGACCAGTGGTTGTAAATGGATTATTCATGAACATGACATTTTTTTTTTTTTTAATTGTTATTTTATCATTTTTTGTTTTCGTATGCGTGTAATCATTTTTTTTATACTTGAAATCATAGTAAAACGCTCCGAAGGTAAAAAAAAGTCAAATCTTCACAACAAAACACTGTAAAGGTTACAAAAAAATTGTGAAGTTAAACCATTTTTAGCATTTATCTGATTTACATCACCTAAGATACAAAAAATTCCCGTGGTTAAACTTATAACGTTATTGTAATTGTTTCAAGTTACTCAGAAACATAAAGTTGGGAGTAATCAATCATAATGAGAAATATGTATATATTTATATCGGAAATTTACAAAAAAATGAAAGATTCTTATACAAAATCTTGCAATGAGCATAAAATAACGACAATGGTTAGAATGCAAGAATCATACTTGTAATTTGCAGATTTTTCGAGAAATCAAACCCGACTGAGGCCTGCACAAATGCAGTGTTGAAAAACAAAATTCACTGGTAGTAGAGACATTTGTCTAAAGGATACAACATTGAATCTTGCAAATTAAAGGATGTTTGGTGATGGATTTTGGTGTCAAAAATGTGAGTGAAACCTTGAACTTCGTGTATAATTTCCCAGAAACGAACATATATATATATATATATATATACATACACATACACACGTTTGCCTTCTCAACATGCATAATTCTCAGGTGAGAACAGAGAGTTGCATGACCTGGCGGCGCAACTTAAGTTGCGGGGAGTACCACAGGAACAATCCATAGAGTTACATGGCTTGTCGCGTGGGTAAGGTCGCGGAAATACCTGCGTAAGTTACTGTATCAGAGTCCCAATATTCCAGTGAGTTGTGCGACCTATTACGCAACTAAGGTCGCAAGGCTACCCATTTATATCTTTGTGGAAGCATCTTAAGCCCTTATCAGATCAAAAGACCTAAGTCACAAGTCTCATCTTTTGACCTTTAATATGTATAAATCAAGGAGAGCTCATCATTAAACACCCGTATACCTAGACTTAGAGATTGTTTGGTAGTTGGTAAATGGTTTGGTGCAGAATGGTTAATTAGTCAAAACGATTAAAAGACTCTCATGATACAGTGCAAAATGAAATATAATTGTTTGGTAATTGTTTACAATGAAATTATGGTGCTGAATGGTTAAAAGAGACTAATGATAAAAAATCATTCAGAGCGTTTTAGAACAATTAAGAGACATGCTTTCTTTTTTACCAAACAAGATTCATCTTTTAACAATTCAAGGGCTATTTCTTAGTGAACGTATTAAGAAATAAGCAAACAACCATTTAAGTTGTTAAATGATTTATTTACACGTCTAATCCGCTAAAAATGGAATTGGATTATTAATCTTTACCAAATGGATGATAAATTATTTAAGATTATTGTCGGATATGATTGAAACAAAAAGAGAAAGAAAAAAAGTTGATAAGACGACGTCGTCCACTCATATTTTTTACATTTAATATTCAATACTTTCTTTAATATAGATATTCATAGACGTGTCAAAAGTTGTTACGTTTTAGGAAGGGTGCTAAAAAATCTGATCAATCCAATCCAATCCAATCCAATCTAATGCAAAATAATTCAGTCTGAAGTAATCCGATATTTAATCGAGTTGTAAAATTGTCAAACCGTATGTATTGGGTTGATATTGGGTTACTATTATTTGAACTCAACCCAACCCGATGAACCCGATATTTTTTTATTTATTGAATTTAATATGATTGTTGAATTTCTATTAGTATATACATTAGACAATTACACTATCATGTATGCTTTTCATATACACATATTTTCAATCTATTCATATCTCTATATAACTCATTCATATATATGTTCAGTAACTGTAAACATATATATGTAAATTGAGAAAATTAACTGAATATGATATATGTAAGAAATATGGATAAGTTGTATCAACTGGTTGATGATGAAAAAGAAACTATGAGTAGATAAATAATATATTCAATGTTAGAAGAATATTTGATATACCAAAGTATCAACCCGACTAACCCGATGGGTTGGGTTGAGTTGAGTTAAGATTTTTTCAAACCGCAAGCATTAGGTTGAGTTGTTCAAATGTATTTAACCCGATCAACCCAACCCATGAACACCCCTACTTGTTAGATGATATATATTTAAGTAAACTACAATTTTAGTCCATATGGTTTGGTGTTTATAACAATTTTCATCCTTATAGTTTGAAAACTGCTTTTTTTGTTCCCCTGGGTTTTTTTTTTGTCCCTCTGACTAACTTTGTTAAAAAAATCTTATTCTTATTTATAAAATTAATTGTGTTAGTGGTAAATAAGGTCGAATCGAAAAGACTTGACTATGAAATGTATTTAATTTTTATCCTTTTTTTAAGAACCAGAAGATACAAGAAGGGTATTGTGGGTATTTTACTTGAAGAAAAAGTGATACGATAAAATTAATTGATACGATAAATAGAAACTGAATTATGACTAATTAAGAAATCAAATTATAAAGAATTCCAACCGTGACCATTAACAAACATTAATGATGCATTTCTTTAATAATATTCAGTAATTAAAACAGTCTCTTATTATTATTATCATCTACTTGTTTATCTGTATTTGTTGTTTGGGGTCCAATTTACATGTGGATTTCACTTGTTTGTTTGGGACATTCGAATCATTTGCATTGTGTTATTGATAAATCCCGACCCTACAAAAGATTGCTTACCTATGTTTCTTTGACTCTCTAATCAATTTCTTTGCTCTTTTTTTTTCAAGCAGACTTCAATTGTTGTCTCAGATGCCTGAACACTATCGAATCAAATTCATAAGAAACTGTATTCCTCATGACGGTCTTGCTTCAGTCTTCGCATTCAGAGTCTTCAACCATAATATTAACAAACACCTTTTTTGAGCTTGTTAGCTCTCTAAAGAACAACTGTCTCATTAGGAATCATGAGGAGTTGGCCGGAAGAGAGGGCGTGTTTTATTTTATAAGCAAAAGATCGTGTGAGATAAAGAGTTAAAATGAGAAACGTAAGAAATGATCTGGACTTTTGATCACCTTTAATCTCAAACCTACCAATGAAAAGCAGGGCTAAGGTGAGAAACGTAAGAAAAAAAAAATACGGTGATTGATCCAGTGCATCTCATCCTAATGTGTATCTAAGGATGAAGATCTTTCTCACAATTTTCACCTTAACTCTTCTTCTCACAGTAACGCAACCCTACACACACACACACACATATATATATATATATATATATAAACCAATGTTATCAACTTAATGGATGGATTTAATTCCCTTATGAATGGTAAAAGCAAGTTGTACACTAACATTTTTAACAACAATTAACAAAACCAAAATGACTGAAATGACCCTGACTTCATGGATGGATATAATGTCCGTTAGGGCAAAGGATGAACGGTGAAAATAAATTGAGACTGAGAGGGTATGTTGTAACTTCGAAATCGCAGTGGTAATTGATGGAGTTTGAAAAACCAGATATGCGTAACTTAGTTCAATCGATTTTACTTCACTTATAAACACCGTTCGACTGGTTCAAAGTAAAACACATATACATATTATTAGTAAGGTCTCAAGCAAAATAAATTGTACATCGAGTATGAACCTTGACCCTTGTGGAATGCACCACGATTACAATAAACTATCGAGTTTCATTGATCTTCAATTCGGAAAACCCCTGACTTTCACTCGGATAGCTTAATATTGAGTCATCTTTCACATTGGAATCGTCGACAACATGAGAAGGCAATCTAAGAATCATCGACATCGGAAACTGCAACGAAGGGTCGGTAAAGCTATCTACGAATGTCTCTCCATCGGTCTCCATCTCTTCAAGTTTCAACGTGTATTGTAAGTCGTATAACACATCGACCATATTGGGTCTCTCGTCTCCTGTGTCCTCCAAGCACCTCCTGACTGTTGCCAAAAATTTCGTTAACGAAGTCGGATTTATCGTACCAGCAAGAAACGGATCGGTTATTTTCTCGACATTCCCGTCGTTTATCTGCTTAATCGCCCATTCAACCAAATTCATTTCATTTTGGGGAAGCTTGTGATCAAGAGCCAGTCTTGCACAAAGTACTTCAAGTAGAACGACTCCGAAGGAGTAAACATCGGATTTTTGAGTCAGTTTCCCGCATTTAAAATATTCGGGATCCAGATACCCGAAACTTCCTTTGATTTCGGAAAAATCGGTTTGATCCTTGTTACCTAATCGGGATATCCCGAAATCGGCTACTTTGGCAACATATTGTTTGTCGAGCAAGATGTTTGTTGACTTGACATCGCGATGAATTATTCCCCCTACCAAACCCGTGTGAAGGTAATGCAAACCTTGAGCGGCACCGATACAGACCTCGAGTCTTTTATTCCATGAGAGCTTCGGCTGATCTTCGTTAGTGTTATACAAATGATCTTGAAGAGTACCCCTCTCCATGAACTCGTACACTAGTATCATCTCAGACTTCTCGTCGCAATACCCGATCAAGGAAACTAAATGTAGGTGTTGTATCTTTGCAAACACCGTGATCTCCGTCACAAACTCCAGTCGACCCTGTCCGTGTCCCGTTTGACCTCTTTTCACCGCAACTATTTCACCGTTAGGAAGAGTTCCTTTATAAACCGTCCCAAAACCTCCTTTGCCGATCCTCAAATTCTCGTCGAAATTATTCGTGGCAAGCAATATATCGGCAAATGGGATCCTTAGGTTCAAATCGGAAATTGGCAACGGATCGATAATGTCGGTTTTTACTTTTCGTAACTTCAACCCAATGAGGACTCCTACTAATAGAATCAACACAATAGCCACAGCCCCAACGACACATCCGACCACAATGTACACGGTCTTCGTCTTCCTCGTGCTCGGTTGATCAACTGCACCCGAATTCATCAATAACTCCATGATCTCGATCCCGTTCAAGAACGCCGGCTGATCATAGTTGCCACGAATCGCACCGATACTGATATTCACAAACCGTGAATCGCCGGAATCCACCACCGTTTCAACATAAAACGGAGCATGCAACCACGGCATTGTGGTTCCCGGTGAAATCACCGTCTTGTGGTGGTTGTAAATGAAGAAATTGAAGGTGTCGGAAGGATTAACGTGGCCGATACTTATAATATCGCAGAAATGAGCTCGAACCAGATACATGGCGTTTCGATTAACTCCAAAATTCCATGTTATATTGACCAAACTGTTGTTCAATTCTTTGGCGGTTTTGTAAACATCATCAGGAGCATCAAAAGAGGATGCTCCGCCTTGCTGAAAATTAATCCGGCCATCAAAACGGGTGCTGTTTTTTGCAGCTTCGATCTTGAAGATGAAGGGATCATCAGGTACCCAATTTCTTCTTAAGGTGTCATTGGTTACGTCAATCATATCTCCTCCAACGTTAATTCGATGAATTGGGTGGAAAGCATAAGACGTTATGTTCTCAATATCGCCATTTTTTCCGGCGGGTGAAATATGAGGTAAGGCGACGCCGCCGGAGGTGAACAAGTCAGGTGGCGTGGTGAAAGCTTCAATGGCGTTTACAAATGCAGAAGATGAGCCGGCGGAGGGTGTGAACTCGATTCTGAATCTTCGTCCCGATCCAATCGGGATTATAAACTCTCGAATTACAGTCGCATTTCCGACGTTAAAATCGGATAGCAGATTGAACCCAGAAACCGAAACTTCGAATTTCGAATCGAAATATTGAGAAGAGATTGGGAAAAAATGGAGACGTACCATCACGAAAGTATTGATTTCGTCTGCTTGGAGTTCGTACCATGATTTCTGAGTGAAAACTCTTGCTGTTCGGTAGATTGGCGGCGTATTGGATGGCGGGTTGTTGTTTTCTGCGACGGCGCTGCCGCCGGAGACTGAGAAAGTTGAGGGGTTGAAATCTCCGACGAAATTCTTGCCGGTGAAATCGATTTCAGAGTTTGATCCACAGTTGATGAAGTGGTGGTCCGGTAAGACGTACTGCGAGGAAACCAGTGAGAGAGAAGAGAGAAGGATGATGAGAGAGAAAGAAATGGCGGATTCCATTGAAGCAATCGGAGAATTTCTGATTCGAATTGAATGATGATTCACGGGTAGGAAGAAGACAATCGGGAAGACGTATCAAGTGGCTGGAAATTCATATTTGAAAATTTATGAATAAAACAAATATTTTATTTTTTATTAATTATTAATTATTCATCATTAAATAAAAATAATAATCGTGATATTATTGGCATTTTTATAGGTTTTTAAATTTATAAAATAATGGACATTTGAATAAAAGTAATATATAAGATGGACTTTGAGACATCAGTAACCACTTATTTTGTATGTTTTTGGTTAAAGAATAACGTAATAAATAGTACGATGAATGTAGTAATAAATGTTAATAAAAAGAATTATATTTATATTATTTAAATATAAGTTTATATATCTATACTATATTATAAAACATTTGATAAAAACTTTTAAAAATCATTTTTTATGTATAAAGTAATGTATATTGATGCATATTACTTAAAATTCAAGATTACAAGTAAATTATGTATAAGTACAACTTATTAAAGGTCTATGTTTGAATTCGTGTAACTAACTGTGGATAAACATAATCAAATAAAAGATAAACATCTCATTTTAAAATATAAAAAATCTAAAATATAATTAATATAATTATCGAATTCTAACAAAATAATTAATTATTATCTTTATAAGAAAATTATATTATTAAATCAAATATAAATTACTTCGTTATTGAACCTAAATTAAATTATAATAAAAAATTGAATTAAAAAGTTACACAAAAAACATGAATTTTAAATAGTTAATTTTGATACTAATATCGATATATTTTTGTCAATTTTTTATGATATCTTCAAATTTATATTTTGTTCAAAAATAAAAATATTATCGTTTTTTTCAAAATCACATAAAACCATACTATAACATCAACTGAAATAAAGAATAAAATGAAATATTAAAATCAAAATGTATTTCACTGAATTGCACGAGTATCCTTCCGGTATATAATAATAAATTTAAATTTCTTCTAATTAAGATATTATATTATTAATTTTTGTTACTAATTAACCTATTATATTAATAGAAATTTGTTTTAATTATATTATAAAATGTTATAATTTACTATTTTTTTAAGATGTCATTTTTGATCATTTTATATTTTTATCTACTTTTTATTAAACGTGATTTATTCATCAACTACCAACTAGTTTATCATAGCCAAACTAGAATTCAAATGGATTTCACGTACCCTCACAAACATAACGAACTACTTGAAATAAACCAACACACATCGGTATCATGGTTCGAACCAAAATAGATAAAACGACGACTATAAACCTTGACCCCTAAGGAAACGCACGTCGACTCTGTACTATCGAGCTTCATCGATCTTCAATTGAGAAAATAGAGCTTGGTTTCCACTTGCATTACTCGAAGCCGAATTATCGTTCTGTTCGGAATAATCGGTGCCATAAGAACGCAATTGATGAATCATCGACGTTGGCAGATTTAACGAACTGTTCATGAAACTATCTTCGTGTGGCTCTCGATCCACCGCCATTTGTTGGGAACTCAATGCGTATTTTAAGTTCCATTTCACATTGTCCATGCTCGGCCTCTCGTCTCCCGTCACTTTCAAACTTCCCTTCACGGTTTCGACAAATGTTCTTAACGAATTCGTATTTATCGTACCGGCAAGAAACGGATCAATTATCGCATCAACATTCCCGTTTTCTATCTCTTTAATCGCCCAATTGGCCAAATTCACGCTCTCTTCCGGAAGCGTGGTATCAATAGCCGGCCTTGCACACAGTACTTCAAGTAGAACAACTCCGAACGAGTAAACATCTGATTTTTTAGTCAATTTCAAGTAACCGAAGTATTCGGGATCCATATACCCGAAACTTCCTTTGATAAATGAAGCCTCAATTGGATCGACATTATCCGATCGAGACATTCCGAAATCAGCCACTTTTGCAACGTAATCTTTGTCGAGCAAGATGTTTGTCGACTTGATGTCACGATGAATTATTCCGTCATCCGAACCCGTGTGAAGGTAATGTAGACCTTCGGCCGCGTCGATGCAGATCTCAAGTCTTTTATTCCATGAGAGCTTCGGGTGATTTTCGTTAGCGTTATACAAATGATCTTGAAGAGCACCCTTCTCCATAAACTCGTACACCAGAATCATCTCCGAATTCTCGTCACAATACCCGATCAAGGAAACCAGATGGCAGTGTCGTATCCTCGACAACACCAAGATCTCCGTCACAAACTCGGGCTGGCCTTGCCCGTGTCCCTTTTCGCCTCTTTTCACCGCAACTTTCCTACCATTTGCGAGAATTCCTTTATAGACCTTCCCGAAACCTCCGCTACCAATCATCAAACTCTCGTTAAATTATTCGTGGCGCGCGATATATCGGCAAACGGAACCTTGAGACTGAGTTTCAAATTTGGCTCGACGGTTATGCTCGTATCCGAATCCCCGTCATACAATATCTTTGCACGAGATCTCGGTTTTACTTTCGCATACTTCACCCCGATAAAAACCCCTACTAACAAAATCATCACAAAAGCCACACATCCAACCATTACAAACACATGTACACTCTTGTAATCCTTCGAATTCCCGTCACTCCCCTGATGATTAGGGCCGGAATTCTTCAATAACTCCATGATCTCGACCCCGTTCAAGAACGCCATTTGATCGTTATCGAGAATCCGACTGATACTGATATTCACAAGCCCGGAATCATCCGAATCCACCACGAAATCGTCAAAAAATGCGGCTTCGATCCTTTTTTCACCCCATTTGATCGCTTTCGGGTGGCTGTAGATGAAGAAATTGAAGGCAGAATTTGAATCAAAGACACTGGAGCTTATAATGTTGCAGAAATGAGCTCGAACTAGGTACATGGCTTTCTTATTAACACCAAAATTCCATGAAGTATTGTTCGAATCTATGTCGAGTTGTTTGGCTGTTCTGTACACATCATCAGGAGCATCGAATACGGTGGCGCCGCCGTCTACATGAATAATCCGGCCGTCGAAAGAATGGGTTTTTGCTTGTTTACTGTTTAAGATGAAGGAATCATCAGGAACCCAAATTCTTCTTAAGCTGTCTTGTTCTACGTCAATCTTCTGTCCCCCAACGTTAATTCTATGAATTGGGTTGAAAGCATAATCCGATGCTAAGTTCTCAAAATCACCATATTTTCCGGTGACTGATAAATGAGGTAACTTTACAAGGTGGATGAAGAGATCAGGTGGTGTGGTGAATGCTTCAATGGCGTTCACAAATGCAGAAGATGAACGATCGGTTGGTGTGAACTCGATTCTGAAGCTTCGTTCAGATCCAATCGGGATTATAAATTCTCTAATTACAGTCGAGTTTCCGACGACGCTAAAACTGGATAACAAAGAGAATCCCAAAATCGAAACATCGAATTTCGGAACTTTGATCAGTTTATTTGCAGACATTGGGGAAAAATGAAGTCGTACCATCACGAAAGTGTTGGTTCCATCTGCTTCGAGTTCGTACCATGATTTTTTCTTGAAAACTCTTGCTGTTCGGTAGATAGGTTCCGAATTGCTGTTGATTTCTACGGCGGAGGTGTCATCGGAGATCGAGAAAAAAATGGGTTTAACGTCGCCGACGAATGTCTTGCCGGTGAAGTCTATGTTGGAGTTTGATCCACAGTTGATGAAGTGGCGGTTCGGGAAGACATAGTACTGTGAGTTTGAGGAAACAAGTGAGAAGAAGGAGAAGAAGGTGAGGAGAGAGAAAGATCGTATGGACGCCATTGAAGCTAAGCGAAGAAGCTTTTCTGGTTCGAGTGGTGTGATTACTGATTTTGGAGGAAGCCGACAATGTATAAAAGGTGAACGGGAGTGGATGAAGACGCCGTGCATGTGCTAAAATAATTCAATTTTGTTTAGTGGTTTACCGTAGACGATAGGGCAAAGTAAAAATACTCAATGAAATTTAGTGTTTAGAATAATTAAGTTTTTTGATAATTTTGTAAAATAAATAAATTTTTAGACATTTTAAAATATGTATAATAATTTATTGGACTTTTTAAAACCTGTTTTAGATATTTTTATGACCTATACAACTAGTTTATGTGGTAAAATAATGAAAAAATCTGAAAAAAAAACCAATAAACTTTCATATTTTGAATAATTAAGTGTCTAAATATTTTGTGAACCAAAAAAATACTTAGATCTATAAAAATAAACAAATATACCAAAAAATTACTTATATTTATAAAAAATTATTGATAAAATTTATTTTAATTAAAAATAAAATATATTTTATTTTAATTAAAATAAATTTTATCATAATTTTTTTAAATATTTTTTTATTCAAGATATATATGTAAAATATATTTTATTTTAATTAAAAAAATTAACTAGTAATACTTTTTAAATTTGTTTTTATTTAAAAAATCATTGATAAAATATTTTTTTAATCAAAATATATTTCATCAATAATCTTTTTTAAATGTACGTACTGTTTTGGTATATTTGTTTCATTGTATATATGTACGCCAACGTCCAACTATTTATCCTGGATGACACACCTGCAACACCGTAGGCGGAGAGATTAGTTCAACAAAACCTGATCTTCTAAATTAAAATATTAGACACACAATAATTAGGATTTGATAGATGATTAAAATGCGAAACTAAAATATAAAAAACTCGAAATTTGGTTGAGTATTTTACATTCAATCGGTGAAAAACCGATGTTTCTAACTCCGAGTTTGAACTCGGTTTTCTCTCTTGAACTCGATCAAAACTCAATTTGTTTGAACCAAAAAGTTCAATAATTAATTTCCTTTATTTATTGAATTTTTTTTGGCTTATTGATTGACAAATAGAACCAAAAGCAAATTTTCAAGAGATTTTGTTGTCTCCAGATATCTGAAAGTTAAACAAACTTGTTATTCTGACATAATAGGTCCTCGAACTTCTAGAAGTATTACATTCGGCCTAAACTTTTTGTCTATTCCATTCAGCCCCTC